ATATATATATATATATATATATATGTTTTGGAAGACAACAATTATTTGGAACTATGGTCGTCCACCATTCGTCGAATAATATGTTGCTTACTTCCTTTGCCTTCCTTGTAATATCAACTATGATTTGATATTGCCACCGCCTACGAGTAGAAGTTTGTTCTCTTAGATCAACGGTAGTGTGTTTGTCATTGTTACTTATAATATGTATTCTAAGATGGGATGTACCCTCCATGTCACATTTTCGAGTGTTCAGTTTCCGATTTCCTTCTTTGCCCAAGGGATGATGTCACGTTTAATATTGCATGGAAAAGTTAAAAGCAATAAACGTCTTTTATAACTTTTTTAAGCAGAATCGTATATCATTGAGCTCCTAGATTTCGCCGTTGAAATTACCATAGTTGCAACGTGTAATGAACAAAAAATCAACAAGCATCATGATTCATAGTTTTCATTCATATGTACACAAATCATTGACCAACTCAACATTGCCAGAAGTCATATTATATAATAGTCCTAAAGAAGCAGACTCTTGCTCATTTTGGGAACCAATACAACTAAGTCATTGATATTCTTGAGGTAAACACGACGTAGCCTAGCTATATTTTCTTTAAACTCATACATTTTGTACATGTTGCATGTATGTGTGTGTGTGGAAAGACAATTCAAGTGACCATTTCAATCGAATTAGCTTTATCAGATAGTATGAGTATGACTATATCTTCCAAATCAATGACTCATTTTTGGAGCTTCGACAAAAATCATTTCCATGACTCCACACTATCTGTCATGCCGCATTCCGTAGGCAAGCATCAAGATTTGATTTTTCCCATAACCACCATGAATATGTTCCTAAATATTTAGGTTTATAAAATAGGTAGCATCTATGGTGATAATGTCACAAATAAACATGCAACATGTGTATATGTAAATGAGAGGTATTACGTTAACTACTAATGTGTAAATAATCACTCTAAATGTCAAATTTAAATTGAATCCCCCAATTTCAAAAATGCTGGTTATTTTTCGAAAAAAAAAAAAAACATAATTTTTAGTTATTCTTTTAATTTTAATGGTTAAGTGATTAATGGCTTAAGAAATGTAGGGGCTGAAATGGTTTTAATGTAAAACGCAATGGGCTAAAGTGAAAACTTGGGGAGTGAATTTAGATATAACCAAACCCAAAGGGTCTGGAAGATTCTTCTATGGTGTCGAACGGCACACATTTTTCCGATCACCGACAAGAACACCGAATCCCTTCGACCGTTTATCCCCCAAGGTCCTCGGAACTCAACAATCATTCTACGACAACCCAATCATTTCTATTTTTGTTCCGAAGATCAAATCTTATCCACAATCGATCTTCTCCAGTCAAAGGTAATCGCTTCCCTCTTGCATATATAATCTAACATCTACGCACTTAATTCCTCTTCTTCAACATTTCTTTGCCGGTCAAGAACAATTTGAGAAATCCAAGGTGAAATAATTTGCCACCTGTTTACTTTCCTATCATCAATCAATTACCTAAATTAATTTGATTACTATTGATCTATATTTCATTTTAAGCTTCCGTAGCGGTTAAAAATATACGAGAAATCAAAAGTGAAACCCTTGTTATTACATTCCATCTTTTTTGGGACATCGTTTGATTGATATTTGATCATATTCAAGTTTCATTTTTGGGTTTATATCTTTGTCATAGTTTCGGTTTCAATTCAATCCAAATTGACAACAAATTGGGAATACAATTGATTAATGCATGATTGTAAAATGCAAATGCAAATGCATATTGATTTGTGATTTGTGTTTGATTAGGTTTGTCAGGCGGTGTGAGTAAATGGCGATTGATGAAATATTTGGAGACACTCCACCGGTGGTTTCCCCAACCAAAAGTGCACTTTACGTTTGGGGTTATAACCAGTCTGGACAAACCGGTAGAAAATGTGAAGACCAAAACCTAAGGATCCCAAAACAGCTTCCGCCTGATCTTTTTGGGTGTCCAGCCGGAGCCAATTCACGTTGGTTAGATGTGACTTGTGGACGAGAACATACTGCAGCCGTCGCCTCTGATGGCTCCCTCTTTACTTGGGGTCAGATTCCATTTTTACCCTTCTTCAAATTGTGATTATTGTAACTTTTTAGCACATATTTTCATTCCTTTCAGGGGCAAATGAGTTTGGTCAGTTGGGTGATGGAACTGAAACGAGTAGAAAACATCCTAAAAAAGTGAAGCTTTTGCAAAATGAGTTTGTGGTATCCGTGTCTTGTGGGGCCCATTGTACTGCTGCTATTGCAGAGCCACGTGAAAATGATGGGACAATCTCTTCTAGAAGACTTTGGGTTTGGGGACAAAATCAGGTTCATGATCTTTTTCACCCATAATAGCAACCTACTTACATTTCTCTTTAAAAGATAATAAAAATAATATGTAAGAAATGAAGTACATTGGCCAAATTGCTAGCAAAGTGTAAGTACATTGTAATTCCATTTTCTTCCATCTTTTCAGGGATCTAATTGTCCTCGTGTGTTCTGGGGAGCGTTTTCTCCTAATACAGTAAGAATTTGAATACTATTATTATTATGTCTCCTTCCATTAAATCGCAAAAATAATTCTTTTATCTTTCAATAATTTCAAACTATTCAGATTATTCGTCAAGTGTCATGTGGAGCTGTGCATGTTGTGGCACTATCAGAGGAAGGGCTGCTACAAGCTTGGGGTATAAAATATAAACGCCTTAATTTCTATTTTTTTAAAAAGTTTTTTAGTATTGATCTCTTATTAAATGCGTGTATTAAATTATAAACCAGGCTACAATGAATATGGTCAACTTGGAAGAGGTGTTACTTGTGAAGGCCTTCAAAAGGCACGTATTATAAACGCATATGCTAAGTTCCTTGATGAAGCCCCTGAGCTTGTAAAGATTACTCAAGTTTCATGTGGAGAGTATCACTCTGCAGCCATATCAGAAGATGGAGAGGTGTAAGTGCATTAAAAAAAATGGGCCTTTTGTTGATGAAGATAGGTTCTAGAACACAAGCCGATTAATCGCTTGGAGGTCAAGGCAACCTCACATCAAATCATATGTTGTCATCATTCCAATTCTGATTTTGAATTTGTAATTTCACATTTGATTTCAGCTACACATGGGGGTTGGGAAGCATGGGGCAACTTGGTCATTATTCTCTTCAATCAGAGGACAAGGAGTTGATACCACGGCGTGTGGTGGCACTTAATGGGATATTTGTCAAGAGTGTAGCTTCAGGTGGTGTGCACACGTGTGCTTTGACTTCAAAAGGAGGTCTATACGCATGGGGTGGTGGTCAATCTGGTCAACTCGGGCTGGGCCCACAAAATGGAATCTTTTCATGTGACTCTGTAACCATGTTTCGGAACATTCCGGTTTTGGTCCTTCCATTTGGTGTAAAACAGGTTGCTTGTGGACATTCTCACACACTTATCTGCACACAAGATGGTAGAATCCATGGTTGGGGTTATAACAGCTATGGCCAAGCAGCTAACCAGAAATGCACGTATGCTTGGTACCCATCTCCAGTTGATTGGTATGTATATTGCTTCTCTTTCTCTCTCCTTTGACTTGAAAGTTTGACTGATGAATAACTGAAACAGGTGTTTGGGGGAAGTAAGGAAGCTGGCAGCTGGTGGGGGCCACTCTGCTGTATTAACAGATGC